TATATTTTATTAAAACGCATAAAAAATATTCAAATATTAAGTGTAGAAATTATTTTAAATGAGATAATGTTTCAAGTGTAATTAGTCTTACAAGATTCTAATTCTTTATTTATTTTTGTATCTGTGAATAAACCCCCTCGGCCCTTCTGTATTTTGCTAAAAATACAAAAAAAAATATGTAAAAACATATGTGTTTTGGATACTTAAAAAGTATGAACTATCAACGTTTATGAATTTTAAAATAAATGCATCAATATAAATTATATTTAGTATAAGGCCAATAAATTTAAATAGTATTATTTACGTTAGTATTTTAGTATTACTTAAAAATAAATGTAACGTAGATAAATTGAACGCCTATTAACTTTTGTCAAATAATTTTTTTTCGTTTATTTAAAATACATAAGTTTAAAATTTTTTTTTTAGTAACTTGATTCAAATTAATTAAGTGGATAGTTAAATTAGAAAATAATTAGATTTTTCTGTCTTCTTTAACAAAATATGTCGCTTACAAGGGAAGTGTTAAAGTTATAATAGGACTTGAGTATTTGGGATAATTATTAAGGTTGACTGACATTAGTAACGAAGATTTTTGAAAATTAAGTTGAAAAAGTTCTACTTTTTTAATTCATTTTTAAGTTTTGAACCCCCTGTATAAAGGGAAATAGTCCGATTTAAAAAAAATTATGTCATATGAAAGAAGTATATAAATAGTATTTCTCATAAAAAAATTGTATTGTTCAATAAGTTATAGAAATATTAAGTTAAAAATGTGAAATATAAAATCGAGGATTTGAATACAAAAATAGCATACGGTATCCGTTTTCACTATGAAGACAATTATATTGATTCAGTCATTATTAAAAAAGTGACCGCAGTTTTAAGTAAAAAATTTAATTTAAAAAATTGAAAAAATTTCCAAAATTAGCGATTTTTAAATTTGTAATTTTTTTGGAGATTTGCCCCATTTACGGGGAACAAGGGAATTTTTTTTCAATTTTGGAGGGTAATGTCTTCGACTAGATACGATTTGTGATCTTTTGACGTATCATTGAATGAAATCGGTTCGGTGAGAGCTGAGAAAAACTAGTAACAGACGCAAAAAAAAAAACACATCAAAGTAAAATTAATTACATCTCAGCTTTGCATCGAAGCTAAAAAATATTTTATGAAATATTGGAATATTTGGAAGATTCGTTGTTCATTAAAAATAACATTTCATCAAAAATCAAAATATTTATAATTTTTTAGTCTATACTTATTAACATTACAATCAATTACCACTTAACGATAACTTTATATATTTGGCAGTATATATTTGACACGTAACCTGAATTTTCTAGTAATAAAATTTTTAATTTATTTCTATATGTATTTGGATTGAAATAAGTCATAGTTCGATAAAAATATTATTTATTCTTATAGTAAGCACAGTATATTATTCAAACTCAATAATTAGCATTAACTTTTGGTATGTTTTTTTTTGCCTTTCATTGATCCAATGATACTTGAGGAATGGGTTTTTAGCATAAATACATTGTTTTTTCAAAGCTTTAAACAATTTTGAAAATTTTTGCTAATTGTATTTTGGATCTTTAGTAAGATACATTTAGTCTAATATGTAACACTCTTGACACAGCACCACGCCCTTCTCTAGGTTGGCGCTCATTCATGTCTCTCTCGACATCAGCTACCTATGAATATGACAGTCGGTGGTCATCAAAAATTTCCCCGATCTGGATACGGTATTTTGCTGATTATGTGTTCTGTTTCGTTTCCGACGTTCACCTTAACTGGTTATTTACCATAGTTGCGATTGTGAAAAATATTTATACTTATTTATTGTCCTTTTTTTAACTTTTGTTGTGAGATTGTTAATAAACGGATTGCTGCCCATGTAACATAAAAAGTATCTATGTCGACTATTTTAATTTATTTAATTTCTTATTTTAATTACACATTACTTGTGTTGTGTTATACCGCACCATTTAGATATATGATAACTGGCTCCACAAAACAGGAATCTAAACCGGTCAGCCAAAGAAGTTAAGGTAAGAGGCTTCTAGCCAATTCAGTTTATTTGCAATTATATTTGATTTTAGCTTTTAACTCAAAACAGTCAAGTCTCTCTTACTATTTGTTTTATTGTTCATATGGTTATTTGAACGAATTTCGCTGGTAAATTTTTATCTGGATTATTCACAATTATGCCCTAGCGGGATTAGATTTATCATTGACTCTGGAAAAATATTTATAAAAATAAAGTTGGAGTACATTATCTGATATCATCCGCTGTAAACATTGTCGTTGTAAAGGTGTTGGTTACAGTATTATTATAAAGACTTTATCGAAATCATCAAAAGTAGGGTATTTTAAGGGGATTCTGGGCTCACCTACCATTCGACCGGGTGGCAGTGAAGAGACGTTGTCTGAGGGGAGTAAATCCTTTTTTTTTCATCGGCAGCATTATTGTAGATCGTCCTGAAACTGCCGTTAAGCATTACTTCAAGGCGCCTCACGCCGTCTCTAAAATCACACCACCACGTTGTGACCAATCCTTTGTAGATCCGTTGCCCAGGCTGCACTGCGTAGAGGTGAGGGCAGGACTTTGCAAGGGTTGGAAAATAACTCACAATACATTTAAACAAAGAGACACAACACAAAATCCTATGGCGCCGATCAAAACCAGCGCTGCAAATCACCCTGCCTAGGATCTTGGGGCAGTCTCTGCCTCCTCACCGATTCGGCGAACGCCTGGATGAGAGACCAGCCCTCTTGTCCTCTCAACATGAGGTCTACTATGGACCTCACACCAAGCGTGATCCTCGCGCGGAACTCTAAATCTCCCCGCTCGCGGATTCACGCCTCGCACCGGAAGAGCGTATACAGTGCATTATCCGTTTCTCCTGGACGATCCCGACAGTGGTCGCAAGTCGGCGGGGCTGCTTTACGAATACCGTGAAGGTATTCGTTGAAGCAGCCGTGGCCGGACATCACTTGGGTCAGACAGTAAGTCATTTTCCGTGAGTTTAGCCAATCCACCTGTCGAGCCGACAGGGTTCGATGAAGGCCCTCGTCCACGCTCCCGCGGTCTCTTCCTCGGTTGCCGTCGATACCAGTTGGACACAATAACGCTCCGGAGCTGCAGCCGGTCCTCCGCGAGCAGCGGTTGACAAGTGATTTTTCGAAACTCATGTCCGTTAGCGCGCTCGACGGCCAAGTCCGCGGGCGGCAGGGAAGTTAGAACGCCCGCCGCCACTACGGAGGGGGTGCGATATGCGCACACGGTCCAAAGGACAGCCCTCCTCTAGACCCAGTTCAGGGACTTCACGTTCTTGAGCGAGTACTCTAGAGTACATTTTCTTTATTAAAAAGTGGTCTTGTAAAAAATATTTTTTTACAACATATTAAATCACTTATTTTTTGATAATAGTAAAATTAGATAAAAACGATGTTTTAAGGAGATGGCGTTAAAACCTTCTCAACACAAATTTTTGACCTTTTTTGTTCCCTGAGTATTTTTGGCTGTTAGATTTTGTGTTGTTAGATGAAAACAGTAATAAAAAAAGTTGACTTGTTACAGTATAAAAGGTTTTTAAAGTATTATCTAAGATTTCATTATAATTATTCATTTGAAATTTTTTTTTTTTTATTGTGATATCTCTATTTCTCATAGAAGTACAATTTTCAAACATTTTGTAGAAAATATTTTTTTTACCAATTTAGTGGTTACTTTTAAACTCTTCCTGTACTTAGATTTTTTGTAATATTCTCAAATTAGAATTAATGTTCAAAAAAAATGTTATAGTATATTTAAAATACAGAACTTGTTTTTTTTTAATTTTATTATGGTATTGTAGTTTTAAGAATTTTTTTTAAATTATTAAAATAAAATTATTTTTTTTTTTATTTTCGGTAACGATAGGTTCATTTAGATTAATTTGGTTTTTCGATACATAAACCAATAAAATCGGTCTAGTGAGAGTTGAGAATTTTCATTGTCAGCATAAAAAAATATCATATCAAGGTAAAACCAATACCTTCTCAATTTTGCATCAAAGCTAAAAAATAAATACTGATATAGATACATATGAAGATAATGGTACTGTTATAATCAGTATAAATTTATTAAGTAATAGGCGAGGTAAATATTAAAAAGTGCCTTTATTTTTAATAAATATCAGTGAAATATAATTAATATACGTAGTAGTTTATATTCTGTGTTTTGTTTCGTTTGTATAATTGAGATTTTTCTTTTTCAAATTTTGGTTTATTAGGAAGAGTAATATTTCTTATAATACCAACTTTTTCATCAGTATATAAGTAAATAGACTTTTCATTTTTTACATTTAGTTTATTCATATTTGGCCAGTTTTTGTCAAACAGTATCCAGCTGCTGATTTTGTATGAAAATAAAAAAATATTTACATCCAAATATAAAGCAACTGCTAGTAATTCAACATATACATTAGGATATTTTGTGTAATCTGCAAATTTATAAAATTTTCAGTTATATTAATACAAATTTTGTTCGAGTGTAAAAATTGTTTTTGTAATTTTTAAATAAATCTTTCATATTTCTTATAATTTAGTGTTATTTAGACTATTAGTTAAAATTAAAACTATTTCAAATTATAATTATATGAGCATAGATAATATATTATTTTAGTTAGTTGATTTTATCAATGAAGAAGTTCAATATGAATAATAAAATCTATATTAAAATGATTATTTTAGTTATACAAACAATTATATTAAAAGTATATTTATATTAAGTTCATATGTCGGATACCTTGTATATCAAATCGCATGTAAAAACCTTACAATAAGAAGTGATATTCAACATATATATACATAAAATAATTAATACAGAGTGATTGCTTTAAAATGAACTACTAGATTACTTTCAAAATAAATGCAATATAAAAAAGAAATTATTGTTTCTTTTTAGTTACATATATTTCTTGATTTATGAGCTATTAATTACTTTTTAGTATCATCCACTAAAATGTTTAGGAATGTCAACATTAATTTTCTAAATGGTAACATAAATATTTAATTAACTTATAAAATAGAAAATTATCTAATTAAAAAAATGATTGGTCAACAACAACTTTTGGACTAGTAATATGGATGTTATTTTCATTCTTAAACCTAAGTGGGACAAAGAGTGGGGCCAGGAAATGGCTAGTGATAAAAATAGCATCCACTCTTCAATGTCAGTTGTTACTTTTAATTTTTTATAACTCAGAAGTACTGATCTAAAAGTTGTATAGACCAGTAATTTCATTCATTAGATCAGTGGCGACTCGTGGCTTGGACAACGGGACGATCGTACCCCTCCTAAAAATTAATTAAAAGAAGAAAATTAATTGTAAATTCTTAATTCTACATTTTAATTAAAAATGTAAATTTTTAAATAGTAAAATAGTTATAATACATTTTTCGTGTGCGAATTAGATCATTTAATATTTTATTTATAATAATCTATTTATTTATGTATGTTGCGACAAAAAAAAATAAAGTGACACCCCTTTAAGTTATAAGGGGTAATTCTAAAGAGTAATTATTAGCTGATTAATCAAAAATTATTTTTCAATACTGTATTTATTTTGTGAGTTATCGAGTGGTTCATGATGAAGCGATCTACCTGTATAATTTTGTATGGAGCTCAGTTTTTACTAGTATACTAAATATACACTCTGACTAGGTGGATTATGCATTATACATTTTATAATTTATACTCATTTTTTACTACTCAACACTCTGAACTATACATCATAGCTGGTCTCACTACAGTCTTGTAGAATTTACCTTAAGCCTCATTGAAATTATTTTATCGCATAAGACGCCAGACGCTTCTTTCCACTTCAACTACCCGCACTTAATTCTGTGTTTTACATCCTCGTCAATAACACCGCTCTTTTGCACAACTGACCCTAAATATTTAAAACTTTCCACCTCTCCAATTATGTCCTCGCCTATTGTCACTGATCTCCTCATTTCACCTACCTCGTGTTCTGTCTTACTTCTACTCATTGTTAAACCCTTTTCTTCAAGGGCTGATCTTCACACTTCTAGCCTTTGATTTATTTTTAATAACAACAAAAGCATAAATAATTTTTTGCAGTCTGGGAATGAGTTATACCAGTACGAGCTGTACGCACCTGAGCTACATACCTACTCTATGTATTAAAATGCTTGTAACTCTATAAGTATTTATCCTAAAATTGTAAACAAACCTTTTTTGGAAACATTACCAAGTCCATTTAAGTATAAATCAAGTTTCCCATTCATATACTTTTTGAACTTCTTACTATTTTTGATAGTCTAAAAGTTTTTGACAGATGAATTTTTAACAAAAAATATAAACAAGTTCTCATTATTAAGCCGTAAAAGAAAAGATACTTGTTAAAAACGTTTAACAGTTTATTTTTACATATACGTCTTTTTTTAAAAAACCTAATTTTTTTTTGCTAACATAAACGACATAACTATATTTGTTAATTCTATGTTCAGATATTAGAAAATGTTATTTTAGCACATTTTCTAAACAGAACTCAATTTTGAATAATTTTATGTTTATAATTTTCTGTTATTCACAAGCATAATCAGTGTAACTTACTACAAATACTTTTCTTTGTATTTTTGCATATAACTTTTCATTTCCACAAATTACATAAGCCAATGATTTGTATAGAGAATTAAGTTTTTCTACTTTGTATAAATCATATGGAAACGTGGATAATGTTAGTTTTCGACGCTCAATATTTGTGTCGTATAATATCGATTCTTTAAATTTAAGTCCTAAGCTTTTACATTTCTTTTTTCTCCATTTATTATCAATGGGTTGAAAATAAAGTGAATTTGTTATTTTAGCTACTTTGAAATGGGCTCCTAAATCTTTTACAGATGTTATGAATTTAGGATAAATGAAACCCTGCAAAATATATAACGCATATAAAATAATAATTAAATAAAATAATTTTTCTGTATCAACATAAAATACTCGAAAGGTTAAAAAATAACAATAGTTAATTATTTATGGGATCGTAGTTATAATTATAAATATAGCATAATATTTTTGACGAATTAGGTTAATAATTATTTCATAAGAGCTTTTTTAATAATTGGAAAATTAAGGTAGTAGATTCATAAAAAGTATTATGTATCATGGTTAAATTAAAAAAATCTTAACTTGCAAAAGAAACAAAATGAGAAGAAAAATCATATTAAATAGATGTACCTTATGTTCCGACGTGGCTAATAAATGCATCAAGTATAAAATTATAACGATTTTCAAAATAATCATGGTCTCGTTTAATTACTTGATTATTTAATCACAAATATTAAACATACTAAAGGAATATTGTAATTCATCAAATTGCATAAATACTACATGCAATTTTAAAAATAAAACAACAATTCAATTATATTTTGATAAAAGTCTATAAAAAGAGTTATAAAAATACACAATAATTTATTACACATTTTCATGGTTAAAATAAACTATTTATGCTATTTTATAAATCAGATATTTTCTGTGTTTTATTTTTATAATAGGGTAAAATTAGCGTATTAATAGCCAATACCGATATCAGCTATGCCAACCAAACCCAACCCAACTCTTTAAATTCAGTAATAGTATTTTCAGCTCTACTCTAATTAAAACGTCATTAAAACAATGATAAATTAGCGTATTGATTTTACTGTATTCAAAAAATTGTTTTCTGGGTAATTGAGATATGATAGTTTTCGATAAAAACTAAAGCGAGCGACTTCCAAGGTCAATTGGTACCAACCAACTATTTTATTATAATTAGCTATTATCAATAAACAATCGCGTAGCCAGATAATTTTTACTAGGGAGACAATAATTTTGGACCTTATGAAATTTTACACAAAGTCTCCAATAAAACATTTTTGAGGTACTCTTCATAATATTACCTTTGGAATGTGGTATTCCATATTTAGAATATTTTAAATTTATAATGCACCTTAATCAATGTCGGTTATAGGCATGATTGACAAGTGAGACGCATTCGTACTTTTTATGAAAAAAATTAAAAACACGTTGATCACAAAATGTTAAATTTAGTGTAAATAATACAATGGAAAACACATTTATGACTGACATAATACTTATTTTTGAAATGCATTTACGTAAACATGTTATTTGATTTGTATGCGGTTAAGGATATTATTTTTTATAATTTAATAGCTAAAAAAAACCATTACAAATAATTATATTTTTTATTTTACACGTGTAAATTTTATTTTATTCTAATTATTTGAAAAATCTATAAAAAAAATGAAAAATTCTTATAAATAAGAATTTCACTGAACAACTTATGCAGCTTATATTAGATCATAAAAATTTCTTATAGTAACATTATTTAAGTAATTTATAATTTAAGTGGATATCCGATCGGTTCGTTCTCCCAATATAAACAAAAACTAACAATATGCAATTATTAATGTTATTAAAATAATAATACTTATGTGGTCTATTGTAGAAAAAATTTAATTGCTCCTCACACAACTTAAGCATAAGTTATTATTGAGTTACAAACATTTTAATAAATTGTTTGAGTATGTATTATCCAACCGTATGACACGAGTCAGGGTGTAGTATACATTATAATTATACATCAGTACGAACTGTACCCATCAGCGCTACATACCCACTTTATATATTAAAATGTTTACAACTCAATATTTACTAGTCCTAATACAGTTATCGATGCATCAATAATTTGAAAGAGATGTGCTTAAAATTTGGCTATTTTGAAAAATATTTATTTATTTTTCATTAAAAACAAATAATAAAAAATATTATATTAACGTAGTCTATTATTGTATAAATTATTAAAAAAACAATTACAACGAAATGTTGATTGCATCAAAAGTTATAGGAGATATCAATTAGATCTTTTTTATTCTGTATGTATGTATACAAGGTGTTCATTAATAAAGAAACAGGTCAATTGTTATAAACAATAAGAACAATAGAAACCCAATTCCTTACTTACTGAACACTCAATATAAAGTAATGTATACAGAGGTTCAAAAATTAAGGAAATAGGTCAATTGTTACAAACAATTGACCTGTTTCCTTACTTACTGAATATGTGTATATATTTCTCTCTTTTTTTTTTTTATATAGATGTATGTTAAACGAGCATTTTCTCTTTTCCTTTATATATTTAAAACTAGAGATATGTGGCAAAACTGATAGTTTAGAATCTCGATAACGAACAGTGTTATGCTTATTTATTTTATTTTGAATCATAAAGACGCTATTTTTTATATTTCGCTATGAAAAAGTATAATATTTATAATTATTAATAATTTCATCAGTAAAATTACTGAGAAAATGAAAAATGTCAAGTAGAAATGTTACAAACAGTAAAATTATAATCATTCTTCTAGTTTATCATCAAAACATAAGTATAATAAATTTTTTTATAAATAAAATATAAATATTAAAACAAAATCATAATTGAATATTTTTTTAAAAAACGCAAATATAATATATAGAAAATTATATCGAAAAAAAAAATTAACATAAAATGTGTAATATTTAGTAATATTTGTGGCGCTAGTTATTATCCACAAACAGAAACGTTTGGAAAGAAATCATGTCAAGTTTTATAAGTTTTCGTATAGATAACGCTAATATTACATGACTCGTCAGTGTTAAAATATTTATTTCAATTTTTATAGCTTTTAATAAATAGTTTTATCATAATTCGATAATTGCATTTTATTTATAGAATTTGTGTTATTATTTTTAAATAGCAGTCTATGAAAATAGTACTACGGGTTTTGAGAGGGTATACAGGACGGACCCCCTGTCTGTAGGGTAAAAAATTAATTTATTGTTAAATAAATCAATTTATGTTGATTTTTCAATAAAATAGTAGTGATTAAGATTTAATTTATTTTTGTTAACCATTTAAATATCAAGTTGTAAAATTTCTAATGGTATTTTTTAGGGATCTTATGAAAGTTAAATGGGAACTAGTACTTGTTTTTATACTATTAGATGAATAATGAACTAAATAAAATGTTGAGTGATATCGGTAACCAGTTTTGTTGGTTAGCGACGCTCTATTTTTATCTTTAAGTACAGATATGTGTTCTACTAACTCATTTTAATTAAATCTAAACATTTTATTTAGTTTATTAGATCGTAAAAATAATTATTGGTTCATATTTAACTTGTGGAAGTTACCATTAGAAATATTTCTTTTTTAGAACAAACTTGATATTTATCATGGTTCACAAAAATATATTAAATTTTACATAATAAATATTTATAGAAAAATCATTATTTAACAAAATAATTGGGGGTACTACTCTTAATTAATCAAACAATATATTAAATAAAAGTAGACAAATTTTTAAAATTTAATTTTAGTTATTTAGGTATGCCACCAGGTTTTGACATCTTTAATAACATTTGGTATAGTGGATATTTTGTGTTACTATTTTTTTTTTAATTTTTAAAGTTTTAGAATACGTTAAAATATATTTTGGTTTTTTTTCTTAATAATAAAAATAAATATAATTTTTCACAATCTGAGATTGCGTTATAAGTATACATCTGTACGAACTGTACCCAACCTACGCTACATACTTACTTTATGTATTAAAATGTTTTTAAAAATTTTCCATAAGAGAAAAGCTAAAAAATGGTTATTTTGAAATTAAAAAAGAATTATTTTACTATTTGAAATAATTAATAAAAAATGTAATTTAATATAGTCGAAAACTATAATAATTAAAAAAAAAAGAAGAGTAATGCATAATATTCACTGGATTAAAAATGTCTAAGCCTAGTGGGACACACAGAAAAGACATTTTAGATTATACTATACTGGGGCAAATTTTTTATCGGCTCCATAATGAAATTGTTTTCTCAATATTTTTTAAAGCTTATATTTATAAAATATGGATTTGCATTTTTTCGGTCATCACTCTGTTTTTTAGCAAAGAATTATCTCTAGCATGCTTACTGGAGAAAGTAAAAAATATGAAATCGTTTCCCTCAAAAATTAGTTCTATAAACTTCCCTGGAGGGACACTCTGTGTATACATATATTATGTATGATTACTCTGTATATGTATAAAGAATGTTTAGTAAGTAAGGAAACGGGTCAATTGTTACAAATAATGGGAACAATAGAAACCCGTTTTCTTACTTACTGAACGCTGTATACATTATACAAGATATAGTTTAATTTGATATAATAGACTCTAAGTAATAATAATTTTTATTAAGAATTAATTATAAAGAATTTATGCGTTTTTCAAAATTTGTCCGTTGATAAAAGCAATTTCATATATGTTACTAGTAACACTTATTAATCCAAAATTGAGTATTATTTAAATATAAGGGCAGTTTTATAATTTGCGCGAACATTATTAGTTTACAAATACAATTTTTTTGTAAACATAAATATCATCCAACATCCGTAAGCAATAGTAGATACGGAAGTTCTTAATTTTACTTCGGAACACCACAAAAAAAGGCCTACTCGTCGATCGCCGACAGCGCACCGGCAGTTTTCCAGAGCGTGTCGGTGGAGAAACGTTAGCCGATGCGCGTTGGCGTTGGCAAACATGAGAACGACAATAATTACGATCACGGACTTACAATAGTATGGCTATCGTAAACAACTAGCGTTTAAAGGCTCGACGATGCATGCGAGCCGAGAAAGCCGTTTCCGATAAGTTGTAGACTTCATCAGTATTCTACAAAAAATAAAACAGGTAAGCTTTCATTAATTGCTAACTGCTTTTTTCGATTTTCATCGGAATGAATTTGGTTTTCATGAACTCCATTAATGTATCTAATTATTAAATATACTGATACTTATGGGGCCAATTTGTTCGATAATATTGTGTAATTTAATATTGATAATATTTCTACAATTACCATTACAGGATTTGATTTTTTTAAACACAATTCATTATACTATATGAAAGCTTTATTTACCCCTTGCCATTAAAAAAAAAAAAAAATTACTAATGTTGATTTATAGTCTGAATTGACGACATAAATAAAAACACTTAGATAGGAGACATATTTATAAATACATTTTTTCTGATTTTAAAATATTTTTAAATGCGATTATTTAAATAGATGATATCATCTATAAAAACTTGAAAATATGAACTTATTTGTCATTTACCTTGTTTTGTTTATTGAGTCAGAACAGATAATAACTTAATTGCACCGCATTTCATCTATTAAATGTAAACTCAAACTAGTGTAAATACTACAGTTAATAATACTTTTTTTTACATTGCTAGGGATAAATAAAATACTACTTTAACAACATCAATAATGTAATATCATTTATTTTTATTAAAAATAAATTATAATAAATGTAAATATAGTAAGTAATGGATTAATATAGTTTCCATAAATTTTTGCCTACTATTAGCATAAAAAATAAAATAATTATTTAAGAATGTAGAAATGGCCGATATCACTGAATATAAAATGTATTTTTTGGAAACTGAGTGACATAAAACGTCATATTGAAGTATTGTATCTTTTATTGATACAGCTTTTGTCGTGTCTTTGTATAATTTAAATCTTGTAAGTTAATGGTTTGTAAACATAGCTTCAATTCTTATGTTAGGGAATATGATGAAAATATTTGTCTGATAACAAGTAAGTAATAATTTACAACAAAGCTACAATAGTTTATGTAAAGTCACCCATTCAAAAAATATATATTTATACATTTTTTTTGTAGTATAAGGAAATAAAATAAAAAGTTATAAAACAATTTAACGAATGTTTATGCAATAAATCTAAAATAAAACGATTCCAGACTATATAACATGGTCGTTAATATATATATATATATATATATATATATATATATATATATATTATTATTATCAATAACTTAATCATTAAAATTTGTTTAATTAACTATGAATACATGATATAATAATTTTTTTGTATGATTTTCTCATTAAAAATCGATACAATTTAATTTTGTTTTGTAACTCATAGAATTTGCTATTTTTTTAAATACGGATATTCTTTTTCCTTGTCTTTATCCCAAATACTTGGGTCGGCCACCTGTATCCTAAACCTCCAATTAACATGATCTCCCACATCATCAATACACACTCCAGCAAAAAACATATCACCCTACATCCTTCCCACCAACTTTTTTTTTGGTTTTCCTCTTCTTGCTTCAACTTTCATTTTCATAACCATTCTTAAAGCTTACGATTTTTTTTCTCCTCATAATTGACCAAACCTAAGCCTAATTTTTCTCATATCATTATTGATTGTCGCTACATCTCTTACATATTCATTATTACCCGAAAAATATCGACGATATAAGAAATCAATCAACAAAAATCCTAATTAATTATTTAAGTCAGTTGAAAACTGTTGTGATAATTTTAAAACTATTTTTATCATTCCAAATACATTTTTACATTCATAAATACTTTTAATTTTCAACGTTATATTCCAATAATTTGAAAATCCTAATTTGGTGGTTATGATCTCTAATACTAAATTCTAGATGTACAATATATACCAACATTTATGAATGATTAGATAAAATAGAATATTGTACATTGATAATTTATATTTTTTTAACGTTTACTTTTTGAGTTTAAACGAATCAATTTTGAGTGACATTTAGTCATAATTATCAGAATAAATAATGATTCTACAGTAAAATTAAAGTAAAACTGAGATATATTTCAAAATATTTCTGAGTACATTTCCAAAAGCAAAAGATAGTAAGTTTTTAATTGTGTACAAATATGTCGCGTATTCGCTATGTCCCACGCAATATCTAAAAAAGTATAAAATATAATTTTTTCAGAAGTATATAAGTATTCTACACTCATAAATAAACACAAAAAAAAATAGTTTATCCCCTCTATCATTATTTAAATTTCATTTATTTTTAGTTTTCAAGTGTAAACATGTATATTTAACTGGTTATAAATAAGAAAATGATCTAACTAAAAAAATAACTGATCGATAAAAATTTTCGAACCAGTATTTTGGAAGTTATTAACACTTTAATAAAAAGAATAGAGCTGAAGCGCGTGTCTGTTTATTCTATTTATCTCTAAGCATTTATAAACCGCATTATTTCTCTCGTCCTGGTATAAAATTGTTAATAACTTCAAACATTATTTTCTTAGTTAGAACATTGTGTACGATATTCATAAACTTTAAAAATGAAAAATATATTTAATTTTATACTTTTCAAAGTATTGTATGAGACATAGTTATCGAGTTAACATTGATAACTTAATGAGATCATTCGGTATTATACATCTTTATATAAACTTTGGTCTTTATTTAAATGTTAAATTAAATTGCAATACATCTGTGTTAAGTTAGATCTGTAATACTATACACAAAGAGACCCTACCAAAAAACTCATCTTAGTTATGGTGTAAATATAAATAAATGACAAAGTATGATTATGTAGCCCTGGCATTTTTTTAAAAATAGTCATCAAACTAGTCATCCTTAATTTCACATATATCAAATATAATTATTATTAATAGGTATTCAGTAAGTAAGTAAATGAGTTTTTATTGTTCTCATTATTTGTAACAATTTACCTGTTTCCTACTTACTGAACACTCTTTATTGTTAGATTAACAAAAAAAAAAAAAGGAAAACTTGTATACATTATTAATTATAAAAACAATGTGCATCAATATAAAAAAGTGATAAATAATAAATATATCAAGGTTTTAACTAATTCAATTAAAAATTTTTAGTATAATACTTTAAGTATTAAATATTAGTAGTATATATTATGTTATAAAGTATTATAGCATAATATTGCAATACAATATTTAAGTATCGAGAAAAACAACATACATTTTTATTCAGAAAACATACTAAAAAAATGTTTTGAAATATCAAAGTATTTGTTGATATTTTGGATATATTTTAATAACAAAAACAAAATATTCTATTAGCATCTTATTTGTAATAATATTTCTTCGTTTATTTTTGAAACTCCTCTTAATGGGTGTTACATCTATAGATCTTACAAAGATAAAAATGTGAAGTTTAAAGTTAGTTTAAATAATATCAATAAAACTTTAGAATTAATAAAATCATTTTTTAACCAAGTATTTAGTAGAATATAATATAAATTATATCTTTGAAGTATAATATTAAAAACACTAATGATTATTATACTCCATACCTAAAACCATACCTTAAACCTTGAAATAAAAATTATATAAGAAAAATAATATAAAACATTATTTTAATATCAGTATCTTTCAATAATATACGTATTTCTTTTTTTTTTTTTGAACTGTTAAGTTTAAACATCATGTTAAACTCAGAAATTAAGGAAATTCGTTTTTATACTGCTTTGATTATTTGTTTTGTATTTTTGTCAATCTCTTCAATAATAATACGAAAATTAATGGCGTCATATCAATTGAGTTTTTAATCTGTTGTAAGGGTGTGTGGTTCTTTATCTCTTTATGTCCAAAGTTAGCAGTAAAATTTATGACTGTACACAGTTTTCGTAGATTGGACGTTTTCTATAAGCAATACAAAAATAATGTATAAACAAGTTTTATTTGGTTCAAACCGTATCACATAAAATATAATTTTAAGAGATGTACACATTATAAAATAATAATAATAATAATAATAATAAAGATTAATTTATTACTATAAGTATTTTACACATAAAGACATGTATAGGACATTATGTAACGAACCGTATTTAACCTTTTACGGTTTAAACTTTTGTGACTTCCCTACTGTTTGACTTGCATTTTGTATTGTATTTATTAAGTATAATGATAATCAGAATTCGAAAATTTCAATTTTCCATGAAGTATAAACGATTTTTGTGAGGTGAAATGAGGTACAAGTATAACCAAAATTATTTAGTAAAATTAACTATTTGAAAATGGTTTAATTACATAACTAAGTTTCTCAAAAACGCTTGGAAGGAGGGAGGAGGTGCCATTAAACCTATTGAATTTTTGCATTATTAATAAAAAACTAATGTAAAACATATAGTTTTAATTACCAAATCTTTAAATTTAAATCTGAATTTTTGTTCGTGTAAAATAGATTCCCCGGCAACTGTTAATAACAAATTTCTCAAAACCAGAAGTGTTATTTAGGGAAGACAAAGCAGGTTTGCTTTGTACAGTTCATGGATAGGGAAAATAAAATGTATTACCTGCTTATTTCTAATAATAATAGCTAATAATAATTATTAGAATTAAGCAGTTAATACATTTTATTTTCCCTATCCATGAACGTACAAAGCAGATCTGCTTTGTTTTCCCTAAATAACACTTCTGGTTTTGAGAAATTTGTTATTAACAGTTGCCGGGGAATCTATATTACATTAACAAATTTTCATTAAAACATTAAGTTGTTGCGTGAATTTTTTGGGGAGATATCTCGCTTTCATAATCGATGGAGTAGGGAAATGGCTTAAATTGCTGTCAATAATATTTGTACATCCTGCGAAATTTTTTTTATTTAAAGTTTTATACATTTATAAATTATAATACAACTTAGATATATTATTAGTAGTATAAAATTTCAAATATTTGGGATAAGACTAAGGAGATGATGATCCTCTAAATTTTAGTATACTAGAAAATATATTACTAATTTAAATCATTTTGTCTGATTTTTACAGTAATTTTTACCTAGGAAAAGAAAACTTATCTTAATGATAGTTATTTTTCTGAAAAGTTAAAATTTTTCTTTA